GAGAGGGAGAAATGGAGCATGGAGAGCTGCACCCCAGTGAAGGGAGTGGCTGACCCTGGGGTGACAAGAGGGGCCTTGGTAAGACCCGGGCACAGGGAATGGGTGAAGATGGCACCTGCTATGGCAGCAGCCTGCTGAGCCCTGGTGACATACACTCGGGTGCCCCACAGAGCCTGGGCACACCCGCCCCCAGGCTGCCCCCCCTGCACCCCCACTGCCAGCACTTGTGCTCAGGCGACGTGGTCCCTGGTGCTGTGCGGGAGGGGGGAAACGTTCAGGGAACTGACCTGGGGACACGATCACCTTCACATCTTTACTGTCATCATGCTGGCCCCTGGACGTTCGTACCCCGCAGCGGTAGGTGCCCTCGTCCCTCCTGGTCAGACCCTCCACGGTCACCGTGAACACCCGTTGGTCGCGGTTGTCCCAGATGGAGAACCGGCCCCGCTGCACCGCGGGCTGCTGCTTTGAGGTGATGACAATGTCAGTGCCGCAGGTGTAAATCAACGTTCCCGGGTTGCACCAGAACTTCGGCATCATCTCCCAGCCGGCCCCGTACGTGCAGTTCACCGAGAGGGATCCCCCCAGGAATCCCCGCACTGTGCCGGGTCCCGTCACCGCCCAGCAGCCTGCGGGGGACAAGCCGACCGTTGCCGCCACACCGACAGCTCCTGCCCCATATGGCCGGTCCAGTGTGGGGGCTGAGCCCCACAGGTCCACTCAGCCCTACCTGGCAGCAGCATCCAGGTGAACAGCAGAAGCTGCATAGGCAGGGTGGCCTGGACTGTGCCCCGGGATGGCCGTCCTGCCCCTCACGCTCCTTCGTCGCTGTGTCTCTGCAGTTTTGCTTCCTCTTCTGCCTGGGGTTCCAAATTCGTTGCTGGTGGTTTAACAAGAGCGTGGGTTTTCTTGTTTCCTCCTGTCCTAGCTGACTTCCTGCCTCCCTTGTCACTGAGAGCACTGACATGCACTGTCCCCTGAAACCTGCTGCCCTGCTGCTGCCCCGGTTCCTTCTTCTGCCCCAGGGACTCCCCTTTCTGCCCCTGGAGTGGTCCCCAGAGCACGGTGCAGTCCTGCCTCTCCCTGTCCCACTGCCACACTGCCCAGCCCCTCCAGCCAGCCAGGGCACCCAGCAGGGGACTCACCTCTCAAGGGGTGGCTCAGCCCTACATAGGGACCCCTGGCGCCCCAAATGTGCCCCCAGGCTGGGTGGTGAGGGTGGCACAGTGCTCCTGCATGGGCACCTGTCCTGGTTTTTAGCTGGAACAGAGCTGGGTTTCTTTCTCAGTAGTTAGAATTGTGCTGTGTTTTGCTTTCAGCCTAGGATTTGGTGTGAGAGAGACACTGAGAACATCCCAGTGTTGTCATTTGTGTCCCTGGCAGTGAAGGACTTTGTGTTCTGTTAGTCCACAAGCACAAGATTTAAAGGGGGTGAAGAATATTTAAATTAATAAACTTAATTGACAGTTAGATATGCCAATGGGGTATTCCATATCATATCACGTCATGTCCAGTAGGAGATCCATGAGGGGCTCTTCCTCTCTTGCTCTCTCTGGCTTTGGCTCGGGCTCTGGCTCTCCCGGGATTGCGGTTTCGGTTCAGGATTGTGGCTCCTCCAGGATCGTGATCTGGGAACGGGCCGGGCTCGGTCAGTGGGGGGGTGAGCAATGGCACTGGGTGTCACTCATTTGCATATTTTATTACTGTTATCGTTATCACTACTATTTTAATATTAGTATTATTTTAAGTTTTTCTCTCCATTATTAAACTGTTTTTATCTCAACCTACAAGCCTCCTTACCCTTGCCCCCCAATCCTCTCCCGTGTCACCTGGGGGTGGGGGGGCAGTGGGTGAATGGCTGTGTTGGCTGCTGGCCAAGGGCTACCCCAGTGAAACTATCGCAGCACCCTGTCCTACTGTGAGACTGCAGCCACCTGTCCCTGGGCAGCTGGACGTGAGCATCCGTCCCCACTGCCCTGGCCAGCACAACCCCCTGGGCTGTCCCCAGCACAACCCCTCTGTGGCTCAGTAGCCCCATGCCCAGTGCCCTGATCAGGTCTCTCCAGGCCTCCCTCCCATCCCTCTTCCCCTGGAAGCACCAGTCCCCACCAGTGTCCTCCCTCCCACCCATCAGCGACTGGTTGAGCTTGCGCTGGGTTGAGCCAAACCCTTTGGAAGAAGCTCCCAGGGGTGAGGGAGGGGTGAGGGAGGGTTTGGGGCCAGGCGGGGACAGGCAGGACATAGGCAGCCCATGTGCAGGGACCAGACCCCCTGTAGACTATCACAAGGTCTTTCTCCTACAGCTGCAGCCTGGCCCTGGCTCTGACCAAAGCCTCGTGCATGGATCCGCTGCTGGTACCACCACAGCCCTGGCCCTGGTGAAGGAGAGGAGGCAGCTTTATCACCCACGGCTGATTCTAGTTTGATGGTGTTCCTTGGTGGAGACACAACTGAACACTCTCTGTCCCTGACTCGTGCCTGGCCCTGACCCCTGGTCCCCGACAACAGCTCTCTGTTGGCAAAAGGTCCCTGCCCTGAGCATCCCCCAGGCTGGACTCTGGGATGCTGGGCATCCCTGTGCAGTTGCTCCAGGGTTGCAGGGAACAACCTGGGAGCCCTACAGTCCCCTGCCTCAGAGCTGCCACCTCCATCCCCTTCACACATGGTGGCTCTGGGGCAGGGCTGTCCCCATCAGACAGTGCCATTCTGGATGGGGCACTCCAAGAGATCTCACCCGCTCCCCTGGTGTCCCCTTTCTGGAGCTTCCCCACTCATGCATGTTCACTCAGGAGGTGACACTGGCCAGGCAGAGGAAGACAAGATTCTTCAGACCCAGCAGGAGCAGACAATGAACAAGGGGTTGGGACCACAGCCCCAAGCCCTGCATGCCTGGAGGGCTCCCAGCAACTTGCTGGCAGGAGCCAGCAGCAGGAACAGGGACAGTGAGGTGCAGGGCACAGGGCTGGGCTCTCCATCTTGCTCCTGACCAGGAAGCCAAACTGCTGCGTCTGCAGCCGAGGTTTTGCCATGTGGGGCTGGAGTGGGCTGCAAGTTCCTGGTTTGTGCCTGCTCCTGGCACTTCGGACTTTTCAGTTCCTTAAACAAAGCAGAGGAGAAACAACTCACCTCCAAAGCTTTCTAGGGGGACACCAGTGATGTTGGTTGTGCCATAAAATGTGGGATATGGCATAGCCCAGGTGAGGATGGAGGTGGCCATGCTGCTGTCCCTGACATGACCACATTTCTGTCTCTGACATGGCCACATTTCTGTCCCTGACATGGCTGTGGGGGCCAGCACCACCGTGGGACACAAGCACATGTAAGGAGCAGGGTTTCTGCAGGGTGTCAGCAGCGTGCAGCTGCCTGCTTTTTGGAGATGGAAAAACTGGAAAATAATAGGAGCAATGAGAAAAGGAGCCCATGGTGTTGCTGTGTACAATGTCAGGTTCACTCTGGGGCTGAGGGTGGGAAGGTGCTATAGTGGAGGAGATGGTTTGGTTGTGGCAGGTCAGTGTTCCCCAGCTCTCGCTCAGCCAGAGCTGGGCATTTGGCTGAGCAGGGCTGGCAGGGCTGAGGGCTCCTCTCCCTGTGCCAGGCCTCAGCCAGCCCATGGTGGAGCAGGTGTCCACATGGTGTGACCCCGTGTCCCCCCAGCCACATCGCAGCTTGTCCCCACATGGCCCCACACAGCATCAGCAGCCACCAGAGCCTCAGGCGGTGCCGGCAGGAGGGAGCAGGTAGACAGACAGGCAGACAGTCACCTGCAGGACACACAGCCTTTATTGCAAAACTCTTCATGTGGCAGCTCCAGCTCAGCACACACAGACCCTCTGTGCCCCAAACCCTGCCCTCTCCAGCACAGGGGGTGCCAGGAGGGACCGAGGCTTCCCAGGGACAGAAGCTCCCGGTGCCGAGCAGCTCCCGGTGCAGGGCGGCCGTGACAGGTGGCACAGCCCTGGCAGGGTGGGGGGCAAAGGGACAGGAAGGTGTCCCTGCAGCTCTGGGATGGGGGGACTGGCTGGTGCCTCAGTGCCACTGGCCACCTCCAAGAGCTGCAGATTTTCTGGGTCACGGCTCCTCCACCAGGTCCTCACCCAGGCGGCCACACACACAAGAGCCAGCGCCACGAGCACCTTCATGCTGAGGAAGAGCAGCAAGTGGGTGATGCTGAGCTGGGACCTGGGTAGGAGAAGGGAGATGATGCCAGAGCTTGAGTAAGGTCTGATCAACGAGGATGGGGACAGGGACACTTGCATGTCTGCCAGACACCCCGCTTGCCCCCGGGATGCTCCTTGGGGCTGCTGCAAGCAGGGGGACCCAGGGCTGGGGGATGCATGGAGGTCATCAGTCTGTTCAACCAAGGAACAAGTGACAGGACAAGAGGAAATGGCCTCAAGTTGTGCCCAGGGCAGTTGAGATTGGATGTGAGGAAGAATTTCTTTCCTGAAAGGGTTTTGAGGCATTGGAAGGGGTTGCCCAGGGCAGTGGTGGAGTCCACATCCCTGGAGGGGTTGAAGAGTCGTGTAGACACAATGCTGAGGGACATGGGTTAGTCCTGGACTTGTCAGCGTTGGGTTAATGATTGGACTCTGTGATCTTAAAGGGCTTTTCCAATCAAGGCAGTTCTGGGATCCTGTGATTCAAGGGAAAAGGTGTCTTAGGCTGGGGGATGCTGTTGGGGGCTTGCCCAGACCCCAAGCCCTGACTTACAGTACTGGAGGCTCCCCACAGCCCGTGGGGCACAGGGAGTTGGTGGTGAACAGGCTGACGGTGCTTCCCTCAATTGTGCTTGAAACAGCTGCAAAGAAAACAGAGTCAGAGCAGAGTGGAGACCCTGCACCCCATCCTGCCCCCCTGAGCGGGGGTCTCTGCCCCAAGATATCAGCTGTGGAGGTGCAGGAGGTGGAGATGGGGGTCCCTGGGCAATGCGTGGGGCACTGGGGAGGAGGAGAAAGGAAAAGGGGGGTTTAACTGGGAGGGACTGGGAAGCCCAGAAGATGGGCTTGTGGAAGCAGAGACACTGAATGGGATCGAGGGAGAGTCTCTGCTCCGGACAAAGCTCCGTACAGCCTCCTCCATCCCTCGTCCAAACTCGCACTGGGGCAGCATCCAGTGGGTCTCAGTGCCTGCGAGGAGCTTGTTCCCACTTAGACAACCCCTGTCCTCAGCACTGTCACCCAAGTGACGGGCTCTGGCACACGCCCCTGCTTTGCTCCCAGCCCAGGTTTACCTGCAAAGACCATCACCTCGACGGTGTGCCGCAGGCTGAACCACAGTCTCCTCCTCACTCTGCATGAGTACCAGCCTGCGTCCCCTGGCAGGACATTGTCCAGCGTCACCGTGAACGAGTGTGTCGTGTGGTTGTCCCTGATGGACACCCTGCCTTGTGTCACTGTCACCTCTGAGCCGTTGGTTTGGGCAAAGGTGAAGCAAAACCAGAGGAAACCTGGGCGGCACCAGTACTTGGAGTGGAGCTCATAGCCCGGTTCGTAGCTGCAGGACACGGTCAGCGAGCTGCCCTGCTCGGCTGTCACCTGTGCAGGGCCTGTCACCGCCCAGCTACCTGTGGGGAACAGGGAGAGATGCTGCAAGTGGGTACTGGTATAGCCTGGGCAAACTGGGAGGGATCTGAGCCGGGGATGCTCAGGGGTACCCTGTCCCAAGGGAGACTGTGTCTGTGTACCCACTGTGCTGGGGAGCGGCACTGGGACAAGAGGTCCCTAGTCATTAAAAAAGAGCCCCCATTGGACAAATATGGAACTAACCAAGCAAAAAGAGGTTTTACCAGGGTTCATGTCACAGCAACACAAGCCTATCTCAGAGATCACCCCCTATAGCCATCCACTGGCCACAAGGAAAAGGCAGCTGGGCTCTTGCCGTGACCATGGTGGTTTTCCTGGGCTGGCTTGGTCCCAGCCTCTCCACAGTTCTGCCAGAGCCCGTGGGGTGGGAACTGCCTGACCTGTGCTACCAGCTCTCACCTGGGAAAAAGGTCCAAACCAGGAAAATCCTCATTCTCCAGCTGATCATTCCCAATGTGGACTTTTCCCTGCAGTCATTCACAGCACCTAGCGGGACAGAGCCAGGTTCACACACACCCGACATCCCAGGAGTTGTCCAAGCCGCCTTCTCCCGTCGCTTCCTTGGGCAGTGTTGTCCCACAGACCCCGGATGTCTTTTTTAAAGGCGGTTGCTTCTTCCCCTTTGCCTAGGGACCATGACTCACCCTGGGGATGTCTCATGAGAAAGACACTGCTTTTATTCCAAAACAGCTACTGGTTCCCAGCAACATGCCAAATTGCAGCAGGTTCCTCTGCTTCAATGCCCATTCCAGTGGGAACACAGCCCCTTCCCCGTGCACAGAGCCTGAAGGGCCTCGGGGGGCTTTGCAGGGGGGCTGGGCCAAAGCAGAGGTCCAGGGGCCAGGGTAGAGTGAATGCAGGTCAGTCTCTGTGGATGTCCCAGTTGAGACCACCAGGATGCTATCCTGATCTTGAAGGACTGGGATGGTGGACTGGGATGGTGGACTGGGATGGTGGACTGGGATGATGGACTGGGATGGTGGACAGCCATCCCTGCTGCTCCACTGCTCCCCAGCTCCCAGGCTGGGTGCCAGTGTGAGCTGAGCTGCTTTTGTTTGCTTTCTCAAGCAGAAGTGTCTCATTTCTGCCCCCCCCGCCCCGCCCCAAATGCCTCTTTTTTTGGCACAGCTGTGGGTTTTGAGCAACAACAGTGTTTTTCTCATGAAAATGAATGTTTCCACTGAAAGTTTCAGGGACCC